ATTTGTGGACTCCACCATAATGCCTCCAGACTCTGTTCTGCTGTCCTTGTCATGGTGGCAAAGACCGTCGCTAACATCACCTCCAGGGAGTCGCCAAACTCCCACAGTGATCGGCCCAGCCAGAGTCACATGCCCATCCCTGAACCAGTCCCTGGGTCTGTGGTAAGAAAAAGCTCTAATTGGCCGGACCTGGTCACATGTCCACATCTGGAAGCAGGAAGTGGACCGGGCTCCTTTTCTTTTCTTTTATGTATTTATTTATTTTTGGCTGCGTTGGGTCTTCGTTGCTGCGCCCAGGCTTTCTCTAGTTGCAGCGAGTGGGGGCTACTCTTCATTGTGGTGTGCGGGCTTCTCACTGCGGTGGCTTCTCTTGTTGTGGAGCGCGGGCTCTAGGCGTGTGGGCTTCTGTGGTTGTGGCTCATGGGCTTAGTTGCTCCGCGGCATGTGGGATCCTCCCTGACCAGGGATCGAACCCGTGTCCCCTGCATTGGCAGGTGGATTCCTAACCACTGGCCACCGGGGAAGTCCGATCCGGTTCCTTTTGCGCACCAAAAGGTGTTCGGGGAGAGTAGGTGCCCTCAAGACCCTTTTACCAAGGACTTAGGGGTCCCCTGCCCGTTCAATCCTGGCTGGGGGGCCTTGGGCCAAATCACCTGTTCTCTTTGCCTCAGTTTCCCCACCTGTGAATCGGGCTCAGCATGGCTGAGGTGTTGGAGCACAGAGGGGCCACCCAGGCACTCCCCAACCCCCCCACCATTCAGAGGTCCAGTTTACCATGCACCTCCTTCCCCCATCTTTTCATGTTGCTCTGTGTGACTCCCCCTGAGACGGGGCAGCACAACGTGGCAGGCACTGATGGCCACCAGCTGAGTCACCACTTCCTCCTGGGCCCCTTGCCCAGCCTGAGGCTTTCTGGGGGCTTTCCTGACCTTCCCCGAACATCAAAAACAAGGTGGGGGATGACTCCCGGGTTCGGGAAGCGAGGGCAGAAGCACGTGTGGACAAGACTGTGTACACCTTGGCATGGGTTCAAATCCCACGTCCTGTCCCCACCTGTAAAGAGGCCATAACCTCCTCAGAGTTGGGGGACTCCACACATGAACACCCCACAGACGCTCAAGTCATGGGCGCCCAGCGCTGGGATGAGCATGGTCATTGCTGTCGTACCTGTTTGGACAGGTGTTAGAGGGCATGTGGGTCTGTTAGTGGTTTCTGGGTTGCGTGTGCCCGAGTTTGCGGGCCTGTTTCTGTGGCTCTGCACGTGTGTGTGCATCATGGTTGGCCCTGTGTGTAGAGCCCAGTGGGCTTAAAAGACAGACCCAGCCCCTTGCTGAGAAAAAGGTGCATCTGGTGGTGCAGGGAACTCCCTGGGCAAACGTGGGAGGGCTGGGAGATTCCTGGTACGGGGGAGAGGGCGTGGGAAGCTGCAGACGGGGCGGCAGGGTCAGAAGGAGGCAGAGGCTGGGGTAGATCAGGCAGGCTGAGGGGTTGGGGAGCCGTGTGTGTGAGCCTGGGAGGCTCTGGCAGACTTCAATTCTAAAATAGTCAGTCACCAAGCACCTACTGCGTGTGCCCAGTGCTGCGGATATAGTGGGGCCCTGGGGTAATAGACACGTAAATCAAACATATAAATATGGGACTTCCCTGCTGGTTCAGTGGTTAAGACTCCACAAGCTTCCACTGCAGGGGGCACGGGTTTGATCCCTGGTCAGGGAACTAAGATCCAACTGAGGAGACTCTGATCTAGGGACAGGGAGGTCTACAAGGGTGATGTCCTGGGGAGAGCAGCTCCAGGTGGAAGCCTCAGCAGGTGCAAAGTTCCTGAGGTGGGGATGAGCTGGCAGAGGGTCCCATTCAGGAAGATCTAGGCCCAGAGAAAGGAGGAGGCGTCAGGCGGCGGCGCAGGTGGGGAGCAGGGCCACCGGGACGGGCTGTTCTGTAACTGGAGCTGGGCAGGAACACATCTGCCCGCCCGCCCGCCCAGCCCCAGCGCTCCCTGCTCAGGACAGAATGTGCTGGGAGGAGAGGCTGGTGGTGGCTGAGCCTGGTGGCTGGAGCAGGGCGGCTGGAGGATTCCTGAACAGCAGCCCGGCTGGGCTTTCTGCCAGTGAGGGTAGAAAACAAGCAGCAGGCGCCCTGCCTGCCTCTCACCCCATGCCCCAGGCTTGGCCCGGCCAGGGCAGGAGACAGAGGCGGTGAAAGAGTCAGAGACTGAGAGAGATGGAGAGATGGTGACCAAGAGAGACGGTGAGCGAGAGAGACAGAGATGCGGAGATGGTATGTCAGAGACAGGAGATAGAGGATACGAGAGAGACAGTGACAGAGAAACAGCCAAAGAGACAGTGAGAGAGCGACGTGAGGCAGAGATGGGGGAGGCAAAGATGGTGAGACAGAAAGACAGTAGTGAGAGACAGAGAACTGGCATTGACTCTGAATGGGTGACAGGTCTGATTATAGGGGGTCCTGGGAAAAAGCGTGAGGCAGTGACACTCCCACCCCCATCAGAGTCTTTGTTCACACCAGAGTAGATGGGAAGTCCCCTCCAGTCAGTCATATGTGCTGTGTGCTGGGTCCAGGGACACAGCCCTGACCCAGCCCCACCCTCAAGGTCTCAGACAAACAAGTGAATATCTAAATACGAATTTCAGAGACTGATGAAGACTATGAAAACAATAGGACCGGGGGATGGGGGAGGGAGTGATGAGGGGTGGTGACTTTAGGTTGGAGTATCTCTGACAAGATAAGGCTGGTGGGTAAAGGGGAGCCAGCTATAGGGAAGAGCCTTTCAGCAGAGGGCCTGAGCATGTGCAAAGGCCCTGAGGTGGGAATCAGCTTGGGGTGTTTGAGTAGCAGCCAGGGATGGAGGGGGAGCTGGAGGGAGAGGTGGGTGGGTGGTCTTAGGGGACAAAGGAGGGGAGGGATTTTATCTTAGAAGAACATTTGGCTACCCTTCTCTACACTCTGTGGACCCCTCTCTGTGTTCAGGGAGTTCCCCAAATTCTGGGCTGCCTGGGCCAGCTCCAGCCTGGTTGTCATTTATCTGAACCAGAAAATCTGCCTCCTTTAGGGATCAGGTTCCAGACAGTTGCAGACGCAGGAGTCCTGGGGTCATGAGGTGGCTCCCAAGCCCCCTGGGGGAACCTTTCATAGAACTGTACCCACACCTGCTAATGCAATAAACACCTAAGACTCTTCTTAGTTTGGGAACGTGGATCTGGAAACGGGGATCTTGTGTCTCCCACAATCCAGCTGAGGGGAAACTCAGCCCCTCCTGAGGCTGCCATCTTGGATCTGGGTGACTGTGTTAAGGAGACATCTCCTCTCTGCTGCCAGGCCCCAAGGAACCCCAAGTCTGACAAGCTCCAAGCTCCAAGTTTGATGGCAGATCAGCGGCCCAGGGTGGATGCTGCTGGACTAGGAGGGCTGGGTGAACCCCACGACTAGGAATCACTGGGAATCAGCACCCAAATTTAGACTGGTGGAGAGGAGGTGCTCCAGAGTCTCAGATGGAGAAACTGAGGCTCAGAAACAAGTGACCGGCCCATCATCACACAGAGAGCAAAGCCTGACCCCAGAGCTCCCAGTGTCCACCCCTTGTCCCTGCCCGTCAGCCCTGCCCATGGCCACTCTGGGCTGCTAGTTAATTTTCACTACCTTGGGCAGGCTGGTGGGCACAGCCAGGGCTATCAGAGGGTGGTCTAATTGGGCCCCGCCCAAATGGGGTGTGGCCTAGGGTCTGGGGTGGAGCCCAGGCTGTCAGGGAGTGTCACATGGGTGTCACATGGCCTGTAGGGTATGGATTCCAGAGTTCCAGGGGCAGTTTTTTGGGTTGTTTTTTTTTTTTGCGGTACGCGGGCCTCTCACTGTTGTGGCCTCTCCCGCTGCGGAGCACAGGCTCCGGACGCGCAGGCTCGGCGGCCATGGCTCATGGCTCACGGGCCCAGCCGCTCTGCGGCATGTGGGATCCTCCCAGACCGGGGCACGAACCCGTGTCCCCTGCATCGGCAGGCGGACTCTCAACCACTGCGCCACCAGGGAAGCCCCAGGGGCAGTTTTGAGTGGCAGCTCCATCAGTCCTTACTGTGAGACCCTGGGCGAGTTACCTCATTCCGTTGGACTCACTTTCCCCACCTGCAACTCCAGCAAAATGACAACCTCCACACCGCTAGGGCTGCCTTGAAGTGTTGTGAGTATTCAAACAAACCCTCGTACAAGCACGACCACAGCAGCATGAGCCACAACCACTAGATGGTGGAAACGACCCAAATGTCCATCAACAGGGTGTGAGTGGATAAATAAAATGTGGGTCATCTACACAGTGGAATATTATTTGGCCATAGAAAGGATTGAAGCATGAGTCATGCCGCAACAAAAGTGGTTGAACCTCCAAATATGCTAAGCGAAAGAAGCCAGACACAAAAGGCCGCGTATCCTATGATGCCATCTACATGAAACGTCCAGAACAGGCAAATCCAGAGACAGAGAGCAGATTAGTGGTTGCCTGGCGCTAAGGGAGGGGGAATAGGGACTGCTAATGGGGACAGGATCTCCTTAGCAGCTGATGAAAATGTTCTAGAACTAGCTAGAGGTGATGGTGGCCCAACACTGGAAAGGAATGCTAAGGAATTGTACACTTTCAAATGGTATATGAATTGAACCACAGTAAAAGCAAAACCAGCCCAGACTGCATAGATAGGCAGGTTCCTCCTGCCTTTGGCACCCCTCTGCCCCCTCATCTCCATTCTGTGAGGACAGATGAGGCCTCTGCCTGCCCTCCACCGTCCACGGTCCCAGCCTCTGCTACTGCACGAGGTGAAAGCGTCCGGCGCCAGCCTAAGCTGTCTCCCTATGTGTCTCTGGGTCTCACCTTCACCTTCTGGACAATGGGCCCCTCAACCCTCCTCAGCCTGGAATTCCATCTGAGATCCAGACTCAAGATGGTGGACAAGGCCACCCCAGGTTCCTTGGCACCTGAGGGCAATAAACCACTAAGCACAGTCTCTTCCTCCGTGCTTTTATTTTTAAAAAATAATTGTACAAAAGAGAACAATTTAAGGCTTAACGGAAATGCAGAGTCCCAGGCGAGGGTCCTGCCTCAGCCTGGGCTGGGACTCTGCACTTGGGGGCTTGTCCAGCTGCCCCATTATGTCTTGTCCCTCCAGGACACAGGGGGTGCCCAGAAGAAGCACACTGGCCCTGCTGTGTCACCCCAGGCTGACCTCTGTCCCCGCAGCCTGGTTTAATGCTCTGCTGTCCCCGTCTTGAAATTCTGAATTCTTGAACAAGGGGCCCCACATCTTCATTTTGCAAGTGATGGAGCTGGTCTTGTCCGTCCCACCCTGAATCTGGGTTTCTCGGGCCATACAATACCCAGGCAGCTCTCACGTCCTGGAGTGTGTGGAGGGGCCCCCAGGAAGCCTAGCCTGGGCCAGGAATCTCTGGCTTTCAAAGGTTTCAAAGGCTGGAGTCGCTGCCCCTGTTGCCCTGTTGCCCCACACAGCTCTGATAACCTGCTTCCCTGAATGCCTCATTCCTGGGCCCTCTCGCCTGCCGGACCTTGCAGTGTGGCCTCGACTGAGGCACTTGCTCTCTGAGCCCCAGTTCTAAGATGAAGGGGGCAGTCTCCACACATCACTCGGCTCTGACCTTCTTCAACTTCTCCTTCCCCTTGCTTGCCTGCCTTCTGAGCTCTTATTCATGCACCAAAGCCTCAGCTAAAATGCCCTTTCCTCCAGGAAGCCTTCCTGCTCCCCCTTTGGACTCTCCCAGCTCTTGGTCCCTTCCTCTGGTCCTGTGGGCCTGGAAGTATTTATGTCTGGCTCTGTCTCTCCCAGACTGGAGGCTTCTGGGGGACCACAGGCTGGCAAAGACAGGTTGAACAGTCTCTCAGATCTTATGGTGGGCATTTGATACCTTATGAGAACCAGTTCAGATATGTCAGACTCCAGACTGGCTCTTCCTCTGCTCCGTGTGATGCTGGAATGGCCCTGCCCCACTCTGAGACTCGGCTTCCCCAACTTCAGTGCAGTCAGGCTGGTCTGCTCTCGACCCAGCCACTCCTCACACATATCCACGCTGACGGAAGCAGGTGTACAACCTCATCCCTTGAAGTTTCCACTTGCCACTCAGCAGGTCATGCAGCGGGGCCTCATGGCCTCTGAGGGTGGGTTTGGATCCTCCTGCGGTGGGCGGGGGGGGGGCGGAATGATCCCATCAAGTCTCAGGAGGCCCTGGAGGCTCAGAAACACCCCTCCCCACCCTCCTCATCTCCACTCCCACACTTGGCCCGGGGGTGACACCCAGGAATAGACTAAGGTGCAAGGCGAGTTCAGGCCCTTGCACCTGTATGGGGATGTATAGGAGTTCCATCATTACTTAAAACTCATCTGTGGCTCTCTACCCTCATCTTGGCTCCCAGGGCCTAGAGAGCCACAGGAGCTTCTTGAAGTTCACCTCGGAGTACAGGGGTGGCGGGCGGTAGCGGAACTCCTGGATGTAGGCAAAGAAGGGGCTTTCAGCACCCACGTCAGGGTCCTGCAGTAGTCGGAAGGGGCTCTGCTCCACGGCCGCCACCTCCTCATCGGCCACCACATCTGAGTACTCGGGAGGTGCTGGAATCGAGAGACAGGATGGGTGAGGCTGGTAGAGGAGGCGGGCAGCCCCAGAATTGGGGACAATGGCTGGGAGCTGGCTTGTGCCATTTCTGGGGCTGCTGAGCTGTGTGCCCTTGGACTGGGATTCTGGGGGAATTCACACTCCCAACATGACTGTTACTGAGCACTTTTACAGATGGGGGCATCGAGGCTGGGGAAGGGAGAGTCAGCCAGGCACCTGCCTCTCTGCCCACCCATGCCCCTCACAGCAGGATGGAGAGCTCACCTTCAGGTCGCTCTGGCAGGACGCCCAGTCCCCAGTCCAGCAGGAAGCTGGCATGGCTGCCCACGCTGGACGAGCGGCTGCCGAAAGGATGCAGAGGAATGGTGCCGATGACCAGCGGCAGCTCCAAGAGCAGCTTGGATGAGCCCGGGATGTCCACGCAGACCTGGAGGAAGGAGCCATGATAGAGGGTGCCCAGGCAGCCTCGGCCACACCCTCCTTCTATAGCAGGAGGCCTTGGTGGGAGGCGGGGGGAACCCCAGCCTGGAGGACAGAGCAGACACAGCCACCCCAGCCCCCGAGGATACTCTACCTTGAGGGTGTAGTCCACATGTAGCACGCGGCAGTGCAGAATAGAAGGACCCACAGGAGGGATCCGCAGCGCCCGGCCCTGCCACAGTGCCCGCCGCCCAGGGCCCACAGGCTCCCCTGAGAGACTAGCCACCACTGCTCGTTTCTGTTTGCGGGCACCTCGCGCCATGAAGGTCTGTGTCTGGACCACGGCTGCCCGTGGCAGCACTGGGCGCGTGGAGCCATTGTCGATCTCGGCAAAGACGGGGATCACCTCACCTGTAGGGTGGGACAGCAGGGCCTCAGTTTCCCCCCCTGCAACCCTGACAGGACCTTCTTCCCAATCCAGCCCCTCCCACCTGCTACCTGGTGTATAGCCCTTGCGGTCGATCTTGGCTGAGAGGGAGACAAGGCCACGGTTACTGTACCAGGATCGGGCGATCTTCTCCCGAGCTCCTGCCTGAGGGGCCTGGTGGGGTGGAGGGAAAGGACATGAAATGCATCCCATTGTGCCAACCACAGACCCCCTGAAGCCTCTAAACCACCCTCAGCTAAAGGAGGATTTGGGGCAGGCCTAGTATCCTGGTTTCCTTTTAACAATCTAGAAACTATTTGTAAAATGGATCCAGGAATATGACTCATCTCGTTAAACTGAAAACGAAGTGAACGAGCCAAGCACTTAGTGCTTAATGAGCGCTTAGTAAGCCATTATTATTGCAAGCTCTGACTGAGTCCCATTTCATGGAGGAGGCACAGGAGGCTCAGAGAAGGCGAGACACTCATGCAGAAACACACAGCCAACTGGTGCCCCTGGGACTTGCACCTGGCTCCACTGGACTCCACAGGCATTCCCATGCCTACCTCCCCCACTGCCTCCCTCCCTGCCAGGGCTCAACTGTGACCCCCACTTTGAGAAGGAAGTGAGGAGCTAGTCACCAAATAGCCAGGACCCTGCCTGTGATCCTCCCATCCTACCTCCCCAAGGGCAGCAACTCACCAGCAGAGCCGGTGTGTTGATGTCCACAGGCTCGATAACAGTAAACACCTTCCTTGCCCGGCGGGCAGGGACCCAGGGCCGGTGCAGGGTGGCTTTGATGCAGTATCGGACACTGCCATGTTTGCCTTCAAATGAAGTCACTAGCGTCCTGGGGGTGGAGGGAAGGGGCTTCAGTGGGTGAGATCTACAGAATCCCGGGTGGGAGATTCCCAAAGACGGGGATGAGAGACACGAGGCACTCCTGGGCCCCCCACCCCGGGAGACAATCTTGCGGCTCGGGGGTCCCCAGATACCGAGCAGTGGAGTCCCAAACCTGGAAGGGGCTGCAGACTTAGGGACTCCTGCAGTCCTCCACCCCATTTGACTTACGGTGGCAGCTGGAAGCTGAATGGGAACTCATGGCGTCCAGGAGGCAGCGTTGCGATCCCTCCGATGTCTGCAGGTAGGAGCAAGAAGGGGAGGCTCAGTGGCTGTGAGGGGCTCCCGGAGCGCGCAGCACGCGCCGTGCAGGGGTCCCCAGGTGGTACCTGGCGCGAGTAGTGTGGCACGGTGGCTCACAACCTCCACGCGCTCGCTGTAGCTCTGCGTGTACGCGGTGCTCGAGCCCGCGCTGCGCGACTCGGTCCAGTGTACGTGGGCGCGACCCCGCGCGCGCAGCTTCAGGGCACCCACGCGCGCCGGGCCCGCCAGCTCCAGCAGCACCCGGCCGGCCACCGCCTGGCCGCCGCTGAACACGGGCTCGGCGCCTGCGTTCGCACCATCCAGTTGCACCACGAACGCCTTCACCTTGTCGAACAGCATCGCGGCTGGGATACGAACTCGCGGCGCGCGGTCCCTGGCTTCGAACCCGCGACGCGGAGGCGCGAGATGCGAACGCCGCAGCCTGAGAACGCGAACCCACCAGGCGCGCGCAGGCGCACTCGCTGATCGGGCCAGAAACTCCTCACTGCCTGCGCCGGCGCCGCATTTATACGGCAGGGAGAGGCGGAGCGAGACGCAGGTCCCGCCCCCGGAGAGGAATACACCAATGGCGCGGCGAGAGGCGTGGCCCCGCCCACGCGTGGAGCAAAATAACAAAAGCCCCGGCTCGCGACCCGCTGCCCTCTACCCCAGTGGACCCTGGGGTGAGGCTGAAACCCTGCGGGACAGAGCAAGTATCTCTCAGACTCCGGGGGTCAAGAGGAAGAACTGAGGCCTGGAGGACTCGGGCCTGAGGTCACCCAGCAAGATCATTCTGCCGTCGGTTTAATCATCAACCGGCCGCCACTTGCAGACGTGACTCGATGCACGTCCAGCCCGAGCTGGAGGGGTGTGTAAACAGCCAGGCCCCAATCGAGGCCCTGAAAGCCTAGGACTAACTACCTCGGGCCTCAGTCTCCCCCGCTCTGTGCAATGGGGGAGGGAGGAAGAAGTGGATGGGGCCTCTCTCCACTCGGGCGCCTACTGCCCCCTCCTCTGATTTGAAACCCGCTCAGCTGGCTGACCCGGGCTAGTGACAACCACTTGGAGCCTCAGTTTCCACGTTTGTAGAGCCAGAAGAAAATCATTCCCGACCTCAGAGGGTTGTGCATGAATCACGGTGTAGCTCCTACTCGACCCCTCCCAGAGCCCCTCTCCCGAGTCATCAGCCCGCTCCTGACACACTGCCACTCGGCTGCGCCTCAGCGCTTTTGCCCCGACGTTCCTTTCCAAACTTTCAGCACCTGCCCTCCCTCCCCCGCCTCCTCAAACTCCTACTTGTCCTCTAGGCCTAGCTCTTCCCCTCACAGACAGAGCCGAGTACCGGGGAAGCTCACGGAATCCCCTGATTCAAGGCTGCGGTGTGCCTTTGGGGCGGTAACCCGTCTCTGGACCTCAGACTCCTCGGAGAAGAACCACATGCACGGTTTCCTAGTTGGGAGCTGACTGATCGCGATTTGCGGAGCGCCTGCGCCCTCTGGTGATAGAGGGATGCACTGCTGCTTGAACCCACCCCCTAGTTTGGCCATCCCCTTTGAGTCTGGCTCAGGCCACACCGGGACCCCCCGAGGCCAAGGCACACCCAGCGGGCCGGCGGCCATAAACGCACACAACCAATCAGTGATAGGGGTAAGGGCAGGCCGGAAGAGAGGGGTAGAGGCTGTCCACTCAGTGATCACCCTGGGGGGTGGGTACCCGGAGGAGGGGGCTCTGGGGCTGAAATAAGGGGCCGGGACCTTCTCCCAGGGCCAAATAGAGCCTAGAAAGAGGACAAGAGGCTATAAGCTCAGGAGGAGGTGGGGAATGGAGTGACCCTGGGGGGATGGGAAGGCTCTTTCTTTTGGGTTTTTTGTTTTGTTTCGTTTTTTTTTTTTTTTTTTTTTTGGCCACACTGCACTCACCTCGAGGGATCTTAGTTCCCCAACCAGGGATGGAACCCGCGCCCCCTGCAGTGGAAGCCCACAGTCTTAACCACTGGATGGCCAGGGTAGTCCCAGGAAGGCTCATTCTGAGCCAGTGCCCTCAGTCTGCTTCACAGATGGGTCCCCAGAGGCCCAGAGAGGGGCAGGGCCTCACTAGAGGTCATACAGCAACTCCACAAGCTTCACCCCTCCAGTATCTTAAGGAAGCTACCAGTGAGTGGGACCAAGAGGACTTGGTCCTCTTGACTGTAGGGTGAGACCAGCCCCAATTTCCCTCGAGTCACAGGGAAAGGGAAGTGACTACAGGGCCCCTTCCTGCCTCACCCCTTGCCGGCTATGCCTCGGTTTCCACAGCTGCTCAGGCAAAATTTCCCACACCTGGGGGCCGTTGGGACAAGTTTGCAAGTCTGTAGGCAAAGCATCTAGTGTGTGCACTGCTGGAAAAAAAGGGGGCTGTGGGTGGGGAGCCAGGTTCGAGCTGCCTCCTGCTTCCGCCCATCTTGCAGATGGGTATGGTGAGGTCTGCCTTCCCCAAGAGGAGGTGGCCAGGGCAGCCCAGAGAGGCCAACACCCTCCTCAGCCACATAGCACGGTGCTGGGGCACAGACTTACTCTTTCTGTTGGCCCTGTTCTGCTCCTGACTGGCTGTATGGCCTGAGGGTGGGGGACTGAGGTTCAGAGCAAGGTAGGGACATGCCCAACACCTAAGACTCCCAGCCTGATGTGACCCCACCCCAAGTCTTCTCCCTGCCTGGGATGCAGTCCCACCCGCTCACCTGCAACCACCCAGCGAACAACCCTTCCTGTAAAAACTGGTCAGGGGCACTGGCAGGGTGTGAGACAGGGGCCTTCTCTGGGAATCAGAGACACCAGGCCTGGGGCTAACGTGGCGTCCTAGGGTCCAGAGAGGAGGAGCTCCCAGCTCCACCAAGGGATTCCCCCAGACTCCATATGGCGGGGGTCCCCACAGCATAGCCCTGGGGGGGGGGGGGGGGGCGCGCCCAGACCCTAGGAGGAGTTCCTGGAAAAGAGGGTTTTGGAGGGGGGTAGGTAGGTGGGTGTCCCACCCTGTAGGAGGGTCCACAACCCGTAGGAGGTCTACGGGTGTAGGAGGTCTCCACATCTTGAGAAGGGTCACCCGACCACACAGCCTCTAAGTCGAAAGGCTGGCTTTGGAGAGGGGCGCCCAGACCTGGGTAGAGGGTCCCGGGGGATCCTGGCTCGGGGTTGGGGGAATGAGAGGCTCACCTAGGAGCAGCAGCTGCCGCCGCCGCAGGTATGTCTCAGCGGCCGCGTAGTCGCTGGACACCGCATTTACACCCACGCTTCGGCCCTCGAGCCAGTGGGTGACCGCCCCGCCGCGCGCCGCCACCTCGAGAGCTGTCACCCGCAGCGGCGACGCTGCCTCCAGCAGCACCCGGCCGCACAGGCGCTCCCCGCCGCGGTACGCGCCGCCCGGGTCCCGCGCCAGCTCCAGCGCGAAGCTGCGCACGCCCCCCGGACGCATGGCTCCGGCCGGGGGGGCC